GGCGGGGTCCGACACTTTGCTGTCGCCGAAGCTCTGGATATTGAAGGCTCCGATGCGCAGCGCTGCGGCCCGCGCAAGCTCCAGCGCCCAGAGCGCCACCACCAGGGCCCGGGGCCCTCTCATGACGCGCAGCGCGAGCTGGGGGGCCGGACACCGGGCCTGAGCCGGCAGGCGTCTGCTGCCGCCCGCCCGGGTGGGGCCGGAGGCCCAGGCTTCCCTCCCCTGGCCCAGCCCCGAGAGTGCCCGGCGCACAGCCACTCCCTGGGGGTCCCGGAGGGGCCGCTTCCACCCCACCTACTGCCCAGCCCCAGACTCACCTGCCCCGGTGGCAGAGGCTCAGGGTCTGGCTGGCTGGCAGGTGCGGGCTGGCACAGACGGCTCCGGCTTGGTCGCCAGGTGCTCTGGCACCAGCCCGGCCAGTATTTGAGTCCTCGCTCAGGGAGGGGCCGGGCTGCACTGGGCCCCGCCCCGCAGAGAAGTTGATGGGGAATGCGGGTTCCCACAGGGACCCCTCCGTAGCTAGGCTCCCCGAGGTGGCAGGGAGCTGCCCTGGCAGCAAGCTTGTCCCAGAATGGGCCCCAGAAGCCCCGCCAGGCCCCCAGGAGCTGCCTGGACACCGCGCGGCAGCCCAGCTTACTCCTGACGGCCCCAGGAACTAGGTCACCCAGTGTCCCTCCCTGAGCCTTGCCCACGGGAACCTAAGGCCGCGCACCCAGGCAGACCGGCCCCCGCTGCTTCCCGGGCACGTGGCCACCTCGGGGTAAAAAGTCAGGGCTCCTGGGTCCCCCAACATCCGTCCCCTCCCCAGGGCAGCCCCGGGCAGTTGGCTGCGAGGCAGCGCCCGCCACCCACACAGGGAGGCCGCTGGGGTCACGCTCCAGCTGGGCAGGGCAGCAGGAGGCTGCCGGGTCACATGCCAGCACGCCCACGCACTGCCAGGAGCTGCCAGCCAGCCCGGGGCGGGTGACTGCTGCAGTGGGGCCCTGGGCCGCCAGGCAGGGCGGTGGGGAGCTGCAGCCCAAGGCCGCCGGCGTGACGTCGCTGTGGTTTTTCACATTTTATTGGAAAGCAACAAAAATTTGGTTATTTACAAGCCCCGCCTCTTCTGAGCACCCCCAGCGCCCCTCTCCACGCCAGGCCCCGCAGGAGGCAGCCTGGGGCACCCCAGCCCTGGCGCCGTGCTAGACGATGACAGTCTGCACCTCCAGCTGGCCCTCTGGAGAGGCGATGACCAGCTCGCCCGCGTGCTCCAGAATCTCGATGTCCTCTGAGGAAACCATGGTCACCGTGGCCTGCTCGGCACCACTGGCCCCCGCACGGGCAGTGAGCACCGTGCCCTCGCTGATGGCCGAGGCCAGGGTCATGGCCACCTGCTCCGTGAGGCTCTCCGGGGTGGCAATGGTGATGGTGTCCGCGGCGGCGGCCTCGGGGCCCAAGCCCGCCTCCTGGTCCATGGTGACGTTCTGCACGATGATCTGGTGGCCGGCGCTGGCCTGGTGCACGATCTGCCGCACCACCTTCATGATGTGGCTGTCCACCTCCGTGGGCGCACCCTGGATCACCTCTGCCGCCTCCCCGCTCTCGGCGTCGTCGCTGGCCGCCTGCGCCGGGGTCAGAGGTCAGCCGCAGCGCCGGCCGCCCGGCCCCTCCCCGCGGGCCCAGGCCCACCTCGATGATGTACTCCTGCGTGTCGGCCACCACGGACGAGAACTCCACCAGCACGGTGTGCGGGTCCTCGGCCAGCACGGCCGCGGGGCTGTCGTCGGCCACCAGCAGCTCCTCCACCTCCAGCAGGCAGCCCCCTGCGGGCGGCGGGCGC